AAACAAGGAGGACCCCAAGAGAAGATTGCATAGTCTCTCAAAGAAGGGGGGGCAAGAACCTCTGAACAAAGTGGGAGCATGGGATGTGACTGGAGAGGAAGGGAAGAAGGGGAGGGGGGGAGAGGAGAACAAGAGGACTGAGACAGGGGAGGAATAGAGGAGGGCAAGAAAGGAGATGCCTTGATAGAGGGAGACCGTACAGGTTTGGAGAGAGGTCTGGCACAGGGGAAATGTTAGGGGATACACAGAGATGACCCCAACTAAGAATCCAAGCAGTGGTGGAGAGGATGCCATTGATGCCCTTCCCCTATAATGAGATTGGTGTCTACCTTGGTTACCATTCCTAGAGCCTTCATCCAGTAGCTTTCGAAGCAGAAACAGGCATCCATAGCTAAGCACTGAACCATATTCCTGGAATCCATTTGTAGAGAGGGAGGAAGGATGAGCAAAGAAGCCAAGTTGGTGCTGCAGAAAGCCACAGAAACAGTTGACCTGACCTAGTGAGAGCATGGAGAACCTAGTCATAAAGCTGGGGAACCAGCATTGGACCAAACCAAGCCCTCTGAATGTGGGTGCCAGCTAGGAGGCCAATACAGTCTATGGGGCCTCTAACAGTGGAGCCAATCTTTAACCCTAGAGCACAAATGGATTTTGGTAGCCCATTCCCTATGGAGGGAAACTATTGCAGCCCAGATACAGCAAGAAGAGCCTGGGCCCTCCCCCAAACAATATGACAGACTTTGAGGGTACCTGGTGGAGGGCTTCACTGTCCCTGGGGAGGAGTTGGGGGATGGTTGGGGGGGTGGGTGGGAACACGGGAGGATGGGAGGACAAGGGAATGGGAGGGGTGGTTATGTAAATATGAGTAGTAATTAAAGAATTTAAATGAAAAAGAATTTAAAAACAGAATTATATGTGTATGATAAGAGTGCTTTCCTACCACTTTATAAAGGAATGGTGACAAAATATTAATGGGAAGAGTTTTTAAGTAATTAAATTCAACATACTTGTCCTTTCTCCTTAGTTCTTATATCATAATACTCACATATAACGCTTGTAGATGGACCTGGAATGCTTGGATTTTAGTACTTTTATCCTAATTGATTACATTTCTGCAGAAACTAATCCATCTGAGCATCCAAACCATTACATAAATAATGGAATTCATGGAATCCAAGGGAACTCCAGAAAGAATTGAAGAATCAACGTTAAAATTGGAACAGCCTGTTTGTTGTCTTAGGTGTGAGTGTGAGTCTGAGTGACAGACACACACACTGAATTTCTTGCTCTCTCAACTGTCTCCCTACATTCCTTACCCCAACACTGAGCTTTTTTCCTTTTTTATTAGAAAGAAAATTATTTTAAGTGTCAATCCCATGTCCCTCTCCTTCCCCTCCTCCCCTACCCCTCTCAACTAACGCCCTACCCATCCCATACCCTTTCTGCTCCCCAGGAAGGGTGAGGCCTTCCATAGGGGGTCTTCAAAGTCTGTCATATTCTTTAGGATAGGGCCTAGGTCAACCCCCTTGTATCTAGGCTCAAGGAGTATCCCTCCTTGTGGGATGGGCTCCTAAAGTCCACTGACACCCACATTCAGGGGGTCTGGATCAGCCCCATACTGGTTTCCAGGTATCAGTCTGGGGACCAAGAGTTTTCCCTTGTTCAGATCAGCTGTTTCTGTGGGTTTCACCAGGCTGGTCTGGACCCCTTTGCTCATCAGTCCTCCTTCTATGGATTCCTGTTTAGTTCAAGGTTTAGCTGTGGGTGTCTGATTCTACTTCCACCAGCTGCTGGATGAAGGCTATATGACAGCATATGAATTAGTTATCAATCTCATTATCTCAGGAGAGGGCATTTAAGGTAACCTCTCCTCTGTTGCTGAGATTGTTAGTTAGTGTCTTCTTTGTAGCTCTCCAGACATTTCCCTAGTGCCTGATTTCTCTTTAAACTTATAATGTCTCCCTCTATTATATTATCTCTTATCTTGCTCTCTTCTGTTCTTCCCTCAACTCAATTTCCCTGCCTCATCATGTCTTCCTCACCCCTCTTCATCTCCCCTTCTCATTCTCCTAGTTCCCTCCCCCTCCCCCAATGCTCCCAATTTTCTCAGGCGATCTTGTCCCTCTCCCCTTCTCCAAGGAACCATGAATGTCTCTCTTAGGGTCCTCCTTGTTACCCAGCCTCTCCGGCAGCCTGGGCTGCAGGCTGGCAATTCTTTACTCTATGTCTAAAATCCACATATGAGTGAATACATACAATGCCTGTCTTTTTGTGACTGGGTTACCTCGCTCAGAATGGTTTCTTCTAGTTCCATCCATTTGCCTGAGAATTTCAAGATTCTATTGCCTTTTTTTCCCCACTGAGTAGTATTCCATTGTGTAAATGTACCACATTTTTTTCTATCCATTCTTCAGTTGAGGGGCATCTAGGCTGCTTCCAGGTTCTGGCTATTACAAATAATGCTGCTATGAACATAGTTGAACAGATATCCTTGTTGTATAAATGGGCCTCTTTTGGGTATATGCCTAAGAACACTGAGCTTTTTAAAATAAACCCCAAACATCAATTTGGGGGTCTCATCAAATCACATTTTTGAGATGCTTTCACAGAAACAAATTATCTACAAGTAAGTCCTTGCTTACAATCACTGCACCTGTACTGTTGGATCTGTGAGTTTGGTGTCATCAGAAATGTCTAGAAGATGCTATCTTCTTTTTTTTGTAGGTTTGGCAGAGTGGCATGCTCCCAAAGCTGGGCTTTTTCTATGGATTAAAGTTAAGGGAATCTCAGACACACGACGACTGATTGAAGAAAAGGCTATTGAAAAAGAGGTAAAAGAAGGAGGTGGCCAACAGAAAATGTATATGATTTCTTTGAACTAATTTTCTTTGAGTGGGATGAAAGATACTTTATGGCCCAGACACATGTAATGTTGGAATATTAGGTTGGGATATTGTCTAATCATTAAATTATAATAAATTTTGAAGTTACAATTCAGATGGGCTAGGCTGATAGAAATACACTAATTCTCCTCAGCAACTGGATTTGTTTTGATTGCAGAGTCACTCCTTACCACATATGTAGCTTTGGGTATCTTACATTCCCTGTGACTTATTGGTAAAGACAATAAAAACCCTTTCCTGGGCCAGCAAGACAGCCAGGCAGGTAGTCCTGATGTCTCAGTTAGGGTTTCTATTGATGTGAAGAGACACCATGACCAGAGCAACTCTTACAAAGAAAAACATTTAATGGAGTGCCTTACATTTTCAGAGGTTCAGTCCATTATCATCACGGTAGAACAAAGTACATGTATGTCTAGGATGAAGAGGGAGCCAGTACCCAGTCACTCACCTGTCCCTGCCACCATGGCCATAACAAGAGCAGTTTGCTGTTTCTTCACCCCATTTTGACACACTAACATTTTTATCTGCTTTATGCATTAAACATTTGCATCCTTTTAGTTTCCTAAAACATATCACTTCCTTCCTATCCCAGGGTCTTTACCTTTCAAGGTTTCTCCCTAAGACACTGGTCCCTACTCTTTGTTAGGCCAATATCTAGTTGGCTTTTGGGTCCCAGTTAGAAACCTCAATGTTTGCATTCATATTACTTTTATAGCTAGATTAGCCACTCATTTTTATTTTATTTTACCATTTCTTCTACCCTGTCCTCTGCACATTTAAACTTAAATTTTGGTGCTTTCTTCTCATTTTTTATTATTCTTTATATGTGGAGAAGAAATAGCATTGGTCATATCAGTGGCAATTTTTTTTTCTAATTCCATGAGCTCAGGTTTGTCTATCATTGCCATATGTATTTTTGTATGACATTTTTGTTCTCTGTTGGGATTTATTTTTTTAATAATGGCTTTTAAGCTTAAAGTAGTCCTCCCTACAGTAATACTACATTTCTGTACATTTTCTTTAATTTCTTCTTCACCTGTTTTCTGTAATCTTTCACAGGTCTTATTGGTTCCTGGAAATGGTTTTTTCATCGACAGCTCAGCCCCCACCTCCTTCTTCAGAGCAGCCTTCTCTCTGGTTACTCCAGAGCAGATGGACTTAGTGAGTATGCCCTTCAGTCACAGCCTCCTAGAATTTAATGTCTTTCTACACTTCTGAAAGCTGGATTTTTTTTTTATTTTTTTAATTTTTTGGTTTTTTCGAGGCAGAATTTCTCTGTGGCTTTGGAGGCTGTCTTGGAACTAGCTCTTATAGACCAGGCTGGTCTCAAACTCACAGAGATCCTCTGCCTCTGCCTCTGCCTCTGCCTCCCGAGTGTTGGGATTAAAGGCATGCGCCACCACTGCCTGGCCTGAAAGCCAGATTTTAGTGAAGCAGTCATGAACTGTAGGCAAATGTGGACTAAACTGGAGTTGAAGTTTGTCGTCTTTGCAAGTAACTGGCAGAACTTATTGAACTGTACTTGGGGGAGGGGTGTCCAACAGTCTCTGTGGCAATACCTTTTCCTTCCTTCTTGCATTCATAAAAATGATTAGGAAAATCTCTGAAGAAAAAAGAATTTAAAAGATTCTTAGAACTGTATGCAGAGAAGCACAAAAGGAAGAGCTACTAACCAAACACTGTCTTTGACCTTCAGAGCTCTGTGTGTGTGTGTGTGTGTGTGTGTGTGTAGGACAGGTTTCCTGTGTGTCTTGTCTTTATTTTAGAAGTGTGTTACCGTGGTTGTGAGTGTGTGTGTCTGTGTGTGTGTGTGTGTGTGTGTGTATGTGTGTGTATGTGTGTGTGTGTATTGAACCAGTTCCCTGCGTGTCCTATCTTTACTTTAGAAGTGTGTGAGTGTGTTATATGTGTCTGTGTGTGTGTGTGTGTGTGTGTGTGTGTGTGTGTGTGTGTGTGTGGGGCTGTTTCTC